ACCGGATTCGCCTGCAGCCGGGCACCGCCATCTCCCTGGACAAGTGCCTCGGGCCGCAGCCGAACGGAGCCGGAACACCCGGTGCTCCAAACGTGGTTAAAGGAACCCGGTGCGTGTGGGTGGGCGGAGTTCTTTTTGATGGGTGTGGAGGAGGAACGGAACTGAGCTGGGTTGGAGATCTGTGTGAGGAGGAGAAACTGAGGGGGTTGAAGACCCATTGGGGTCTGGAAGAGGCTGTGCATTTGTGTGACATGCATGTTACTGCTTTCATGCAAAAGAACTTAATTAGGTCATCCATGGAAGAAGTGACTCTGGATTGGTCGCGTGGATGATCTGGGGTTGGTCAGTGATGCGTGCCCTTGTTTTGGTGGGTGGGTGGGTGGGTGGGTGGGTGAGTGGGTTTGGGTTGCCGGCGGCCAAATCTTGTGTGTGTATGCGTATGTATGTGTGGGTTGGATCCTCAACGCAGACTGTATGAAAAGAAGAGTTCTAACGTGGGTCGCTCACAGATCCTGACAACCTGGTAACTGTGAAGAACTAGAATCAAAAAGACATGAGCAGATTAAATCTCATCAAGGATTGCAACCTTCAACTCAGGAATTATACCATGACTGGTCAGGCCGGGATGGGTAATGACGGTTTTCGAGGGTTGTGAGCTGTATATTTTATGCGCTGATGATGTTGGAGCATTCAAGAAGAATGAATCTGCCATTTGGACGCAGGAGGGGGAAGAAAACAATCTGAAACAATCAAGCTTTTGGAAAAGGAAAAGCGACGTCCTGTAGAATTTATATAGTTCGCATCTCCCAAGAACACTCCAAAAGGCTTCCCAAGAACACACTCAACAAGAACTCCTTAGGAACCGTTCACTCCACCCAAACCAGTCGTCAGACGCGCCGTAAGACGCTTGGAACACCGACGTCGTTTCCCGGACCCTGCGCACCCACCGTGGACGTCTCGTTCCACCCGCACCCGGGTGGGTGGGTGGTCCGTGGTCCGGTCGGTGCGTGGTGCGGCGCAGGTGTCCTGGGTCGGAAGTTCCTCCTTGGTGATTCACATGCAGCTCACCACCGAGGATGCGAAGGACGTCCTGAAGGACCGGGAGGAAAACACGGTGTTCGGGGTGAGGTGGGTGTGTTCAGCAGGTCCGCAGAGAGGGCTCCGAGGTGTGAAGGCAGGTGGGTGTGTGGAATCACTAGGGGTGGATCAACCAGACACTCCGTGTATAAAGAATATCTTTTTACACAGATTGGGGTGTGTGGTTTCAGGGGTGAATGCATTAAATAAGGTCCATAATATCTAAAACATGCCATAATTACATGGAGTCTGAGACCGGAGATGCTCGAGAGTATGAAGAAACCCGCTGGCTCTTAGTGCCGAAGGACCCCCATGCTGGAGACTTGATATATACACCGAACATATTCCAAGATGGGTGGACTGGTGATTCATCATCAGGAAGGAGGAACTCGTTGTAACGTGGACAGCCATGGAGAGGCTGGAAAGCCTTAAGATCCATCATGATCCATCAAGTCATTAAAACGCGTATACGAACTTTTTTTACAGCTCAACTCAGGTGGAGGATGGAGGCCGTAAGGACTAGGCATCCCATGAGACCTCCATGGCTTCGGCGGGTTTTTCGCGACAGACAGATGCAGAGGTCGGGGGTAGTCGCCCACGAACACGGACTTCGAACACATCGATGGTACCTGGACCTTCCAAGGGATGCCCAATGGAGATCCACAAGCAGTGCATGCAGGATATTCATGGATATTCCATTGGTGCTGGTGTGGGAGCGTAGATCAGTGACTTAAACCTCCCATCAACTGCCTATGATCCACAGAACCCCCGATGTGATGTCCATCCGTTGGTGCCACGTTCGCTGACTCTCCAGGCGAACTTCACCTTCGTCGCGCGGGACGTGACCACGGGGAAGAGCTGCAACTTGGCAGTTGGGCAGTGCCGGGGCAGTTGGGATGGGCGAAGGTAGACATCCCAAATAACACTCCATGTATCTCCAGGTACTGTATTGTATACGGTGATATATTACTGTAACTATAAAGTATATGTGTGAATGTGTGAATGCATATAAAAAATCATATAAATATCCGTCTATTTGCGTGGTGGTTAGTCTATACAGTACATTGACCATCATTGACCACTGAAAGACCCCCCAACTGATCGGCAAATGTGGCAGTCCCAAAACGAGCGTTTGGGCATGGAAGTGGTAAAGCCTGACCCTTGGATACCCTTGGGCATGGTTGTTTTATGGCAGTCCCATCAACGGGCCACCCCAGCGGACGAGCGGAGAGACGTCTTCCGGAGCGGAAGTGAGTTTTTCTCGGGTCGTGCCAGTCACGGAGGAAACGCATGTAGAGGAGGTATATACTCCCAGTTGATGTAAGAATCAGGCCCATCACCTAGAAAGCATAGAAAGCCTCAGAAAAGAAACAAGCAGCAATGAATCATAATGAATCCTTTTCAGTTTATGTGGTGCATGATGTTTTTCCTTCAACCTTACTTAGGGTTTGCCAGTCCACTGAAACATGCAATTCTCAAAGATGACTGTCGCAGCAGCGCCAGTGGCGCAGCAGCTGTCACATCCGCCCAGTCTCTGAAGGCAAGATCAATCGCTTGCAGCCAGAGTCAGAGGACCCCTGATTGCAGCCGTCCGGCCCCTTCACAGCCGTCCGCGCAGATGGTGGGTGATTCCTTTTGTTGTTGGATTAAGATACGAATTGCAACGTGCCGCCAGTGACTTGAGAAGCGTATGGTTTTGCCAAACGTTTGGTTTCTTTAGCTTAACTACCACACCTTCTGGGGAATGTCCATTTCTTCAGGGGTGTCCGGCCCTTGCTTTGGTACTGACATGTGCATGTGAGGGTATCCAATGGTGTCCACCTCAAGTTAAAACCATGGCCCCATATTTATAGTTAGGTCAACTTGATAAAGCTATAAGAGATTGCCAAATATTTTTAGTTAGGTGAACAGCTTAGGTTAACTTTATAGATGGCGCCCCAAACTTATACGTATAGTACAAGACCTCCAAACTTGCGAGTTTTGGACCTTCACAGATCCATTCAGGGCCGGGATTGGAAGGCGGATGGCTGGATCAGCTCGCTGTCCTTGCGTGAATCCGCTGATTTGGTCACCAGGGGGCCTGGTCCACGAATTCGATGCCTTCGCTCACCTGCCCAGGCACTAGTCTAGGCGCGCGCGCCCACCCGCCTCTCGACGACGCCAGGAGGAGAAGCGACTATTCCAAGCGGCCGACGACAAGATTACGGCCATGCAACTGGGATGGTCTCTCTCTGGTGGGATGTGCCAAGGGAGGATCGGGAAGCGAGGTGTCCGAGGATGCTATGGATGGGTTTGTCATGGTTTGTCTAAATATGCGATGCATAGCATAGCACATATAGTCATATAGCGTGTATGTTTTCTAAGTGTCTAACTTGCCCAGGGGATATGATCATGATCATGATCACGCGGACATCTCTTGTTTGAGGCCTTGGTGTGACGTTGCCATATATATGTTGCTCATTTTGGAGGGCCACTTGAAAAGATCGACTCTTCATCCGGCACCAATAGGGCGACACATTATTTTTTACACAGGCCCGGCTGGTGCAGAAGTTGTTTTAGACATGTTCACTCTACTTGAGCTGATCGGGTGATTTCAGTCTTATGTAACTCTCTGTCGAACCCAGCTCAGGGGAATGATTGAACAAACAAAGCATTGTCTTAGTCTCGCCATGATTGAGTGAGGTTGGCCCGCTAAACCATCAATGTTTGGTCTTTTCTTGAACAGTCTGAGTTTTCACCCCATCAGCCCCAGGAAGGCTGCCCGCAAGGCAGGGAAGCGTGGATCAACCCATGAGCTCGACGCAAACAGTGCCGCCATGGCACGGGAGCGAGGGTTGGAACCGTTGGAACCACGTGGCGGTTGTATGCATCCTTGAACATGTGGCTGAAGCATGTATATAAATATATATGTAAAACAGAGAGAGATGCTATGTGAACAAGGCCAGACATCGACCAGGAGGACATGTATATTAGTCTTTATAGGTTTTGGCATGATAATTTCTTTAAAGAGCCAGTGAGGTGTTCACGTCGTGTTTTTTCTTGAATCCTGCGAGGAGCTTTTAGACCAAGGGCGGCTACTTCAGGCGCACACACACACACTGTTCCCACATTTCGTGAGGGCTGGCGGTTTTATGCGCGATGTGGTGCAGGTTTGTTTGTTTTTTTTAATGATGTTGTTTGATAGCTTTTGGGGATGCAAAGACTGAATCGTTTCCGTGTGTGTGGGTGAACGACTGTTCAAAGACTGAATATCGCTCAAGATAGGACGTTCAGGGCAGGATGTGTCAAGAGGGTTTCCAACTGGGTCTCAACTCAAGAGTCAACTCAAGATATCTCAAGAGACACTCTGACTCACTAGCGGAGTGGAACATGGTTTCTTGGAAGACCTCTTTCCTTTGTGAGCAGGGGGTTTTCCACTTCCATGTGATGTGTTAGTCGGAGTGTAGCTGCTTTTGTCGTTCAACCAGGGATTTTAGCGTAGAGAATTGTTGGTTTGGATCTAGTGATCAGGTCTTTGAAAAGAAGGGATATTTGTCATTGATGCAAGGACATTTATTGATGTTTTTGCTGTGCTTGTTCTTCTTGCTTGAATGCCATGGAGAAAGAAAGCCGTACAAACCCCCAAATCACCCAGTAAAACCCACAAAAGAAGCCATCTACCCAGACCATCAACAATGTAGATTCCGACTCAGTGAACTGGAAGAATGAGCCTCTGGAAGGCAACTTTTTGAACAGTTTGTTTTGCTTCCTACTTCCGTGTTCGTCGGAGTGTAAATACCCACATATTTACAGTGTAAATACCCCAAGTTCGGTGGTTTTTAGTGAACCTCCATCTAGAAGACATCTTGGGGTCTGTGGAAGATCATGTTCCTCTAATTTCCTCTACAACCCAGTCCTCGGTATCTCTCCCAAATGGTCAGGATATGCCGGGCCTGGCCGTGGGAGATGCGGTGCTCATCAGCCAGACACGGCGGGAGACGATGATCATCTGCCAGCCACAGCAGCGGAACACCGCCGGACGGATGTTCGGTGGGTACCTCATGAGGTCCCTTGGAACCAGCGGCTGAGGATGAGGGTGACGAGGGAGGTGTTGGCAGGTCGTTGCAGGCGCAGGTGACAGAGGTGTGGAAGGGGGAGGGGAAAAGACACATTGACAGTGGCGTGCCGAAAAGAAGCCGTCTTGTTGTTGGACCATTTTTTTAGAACATAAGTTGAGCAAACTCCAAGAGATTTGTGTTGCCTCATTAGTGAGTCGAGAGTGAAACTCTTGGGGCCCTAGCTTTGAATCCAGAGCTGCGATTGCAAGCTTTCAGAAAATAGGGGAACTCTTTCTTCTTCCAGCTCCCAAGACACGAATGCAGTGCACGGGCAAGTGCTAACAGCCAGCAACCCAACGTCAGACGACTCTCGTCAGTCCAGACGACTCACATTGATGTGACATCGACCGTTAAGAGCCGAAGAGCCTCCTGGAAGAAGATCGTTTTGTCATGAAGTCCGAACGGGGTCACCCAGCTGTCGCAGTTTTCCAAGAGCGGTATTTTTCTTAGGAAGGCCAAGTGCCAAATATGTATTGAGGCTCATGAAAGCTCATGAGCCTCAAAGTCCCTTGCTTTTTGTTTGCTCATTTTTTTCCCAGCTTTTGTGGCTCCTAGTCCAATTGCTATCCTGATCTGATCTCAGCGCATGCTGGCGTCTGCTCTGGGCCCAGGTGTGCCTACCGCTGCGCCTTTCCCACGGCCTACATGTTCGCGGGCTCCTTCCCACACTTCGTGGAGGTGGACGAGGTGACCTTCCTTCAGCCAGTGGAGGTCGGCGACATCTGCGAGTTCAGCGGTGCCCCGGATTCCGACCGAACACACAGCGCGACAAGTGGAAAGCGGACGAAGCGGTCTTCCGTGTTGGTTGCTGCGGAAGGGTTTCAGTTTCGGGGGGGGGTTGGGCAGGGCTTTGGGGACTTAAGGTGGTTGAACATGGGCGAACACGGTTGCAGTAGTGGGATGTAGTGGGTTTGATCCGGTTTGGATTTGGAGAGGCTAAAGTGATGTTGACCGAGATTGTGAGTCAGTCATGTGTGTGGTTTTGACCGGTGGTTTTGGGTGCTGATTCTGTGTGATTCCTATCCCAGACACTCCCCGTATGGCAAATTTACCTACATGTACGCTGGCGTAAATACTCCTTGGATGGAGTGTTTGGATATTACTTTTTATATGGTAGCGTCGTTTCATATTGATGAGATGATTGGGGAGATGATTCACCAAGTCATTGATTTCATGTTGAGTCTCTTTCGCCTCTTTCCTTCGACCACTTAGCCCCTATAGATTCGGATGGCCTTTATTTGCTTCCTGAGGACAGGTGATGCTCACCTACACGAAGGTCCGCCCGGTGGTTCATGTCGAGGTCACCGCCTCCGTGTTGAAGCCAGATTTGATGCATGGCCAGAGGATTTGTGCTGCGGGAAGTCTGCGGTGAGAAGGGAGTTGGTAAAATTTCTCGGCGCTCCCAAAGTCATCCCTGAGTCCATGAGAAAATGAACTAATTACATAAAATGGCCACTGTACCAAGCCTGAAAGCAAAGGCCTCATGTTTCTTGAATTGAGATGAACTTGAGTAACTTGGAGTTGCTATGGATGTGACTGGGAGCCAGGGCAAATCATGCTAATAAGCCAGGCCTTGGCCGCCAGGCCTTGGGATTCCTCTCAGCCATCTCTGTTTGTTGAGAGTCTTTCTTTTGGCCCCTGTGAATGACCGAGCACATGGGTAGGACCTGAATCTGAATCCACCTAAACTTCAAACACAAATAATATAAAATAATCTTTGGCATATGCGTCTTGCTGCCGGATTGGTCTCAGGAAATCCAGCATGATCACCAACGTCACTTGGTGAGAAAGGACGCGATGCAACGATGTATGTGACATGGAGCAGGAAACATACATGGAACATCCCATGATAAACCCTCGTGGGCCAAGGGGGTGTAAGGTCGATGTTCCTTCTCCTGGTTGAGGTTGTCTTTCACTCGCTGAGGGGTTTTCCCCGTTTCTGTCCGGTCATGAGACGTCCAGATGCTTTGGCGTCCGGTCCTTTCGTTTGAGACGCTTTTTGGCCGAAGAGTTGCTTTCATGGCGACGGTGGACTCCTGGACAAGCTGTTGGGAGACGAAACCGGCTGCGCCCAGCAGAAAGCATGAACAAGCTGTTGGGGTCTAAGTCGATGAACATGTTGATTGGGGTGCCCAGTCCCAGTTGAGCATGGGGTGGGGCATCAAGATGTTTCATGAGATCTCTTTTCAGATCTTTCAGTCCAGACCGCCCGTCACTTCGTTCTCGACCGGGCTCTGCGGAATCCCACCGCGTCCTTCCACCCAGGTCTTCAACTTCGTCTTTGAGCTGCGGCCGAAGCCCGGGCAAGCGCTCCCGGTGGTGAAGCGCGTCTTCCCGAACGCGGAGGCGGGCGCTCAGCGAGTCGCAGGGAAGCCCAGGTGGAGGGGCTGAGGGGGGGGGGCGGAGCATGGGAGTCGTATAGAGGGCTTATGAGGCCTTTCTAACCCAGGGTGCTTGCTGCAACTTTCAGGATTGGATGAAGAGATCATAAGAGATCTATGATGTTGATATTGCTACTTTGGGATACTTTGGGGTCATATTTCAATCGGCATATGTGTGGGAAAAGTGGATTTGTAGGGCCAGGGTCACCTAAATCCAGCCAAGTGTGCATTTTTGGTGGTGACCCCATGACCCGCCTTCTTTTCGCCACTCGGTTTGCACAAGAAAAAACGGTGAACATGTGATTGTAGAAGAAACAAAAACCACTCAGTTGGATCCTGATTCTCAGGGAGTTGTATAGGGTTGTTGACCAGAGCTGTGTATGGTTGTTAGAGTTGACCATGACCAGGGTACATTTCAGTGAATGAATATGATTGGATCAAGAAAAAAATATAGTTGGGCACCATCCGTTGATTCCCTCCGTTCTGATGTTTTTGGCTGGCAGATCACGGTTTGACAATGAAGAGAGAGAGAGAGAGAGAGAGATGGAGTTTCCCGCCTCAACCGCGATGGCCTCGTGAGACATCCGAAAGGCCCGCGCCACCAGGTCCAAATCATGGAGCGACACGACTTCCACTGACCCTGTCATGGGAGCGGTTTCTGGGGCGGTCAAAGCCACGTGTGGGAGGGTCGGATTCTGGTATATAAGTGACTTCAGTGCAACGAAACTGGTCGGTTTGCGCAGGCAGAGGCTGTTTGAACAATTCCTGGTGGGGGGAGATGCCTATACATCCAATGGTGAGTTAAAAAAAAAACAGGTTTTTCAGCCCTCATGGTCATGGTCGGTCCCGCCACAAATGCATGATCAGTTGTTGAATTCAAAAGAATTTGAAGAATCTGGAAAGTGTTCACTGATGGTCTTTGTTTGCTTGAAACAGTCGAGTGAGAATCTACAGCCTTTTTGGGGGAATGTAGCATGTTCCAAGACTATAAGAGGTATGCCATGAAAAACACATCAGGAAGGCCTATGCCCCAGGTGTATGATGACTACGGAAGGACTCTAATTACACAATAGGAACAAGAAAGGACGCGTTTTGTTTGGGCTACAAAGAGAATGACCCACGAAAGATCTGCGCAATTATCAACAGGGTTTTTGACCACATGTGGTGGCTGACCCGCTCTGGCCCATCTCTGCCCACAGTTGGGCGCAGCCTCAAGAACGCGCGGGACGTGTCCGAAGTGCTGATGCTCTCCGAAAAGGGTGGAGGACAATCGAAGAGGTGCAACTATCAAGTCCTGTCATGTCCTGTTGTTTGAGGGATGTTTCATGAAAAACCACAGCCGAATGATCGAGATGAGTCAAATTCTCTAGCTGCTGAATAAAACACATCATCTGTAGCTGATGGGTGTCCAAGTTCCTCTCTTTTGTCCAATGCTTCGTGGATAAGCAGGACTTGTGTGCGGACCTTATTGTCAGCTACACCGATACCACCCGATGACCATGCTCGCGCGCGGGCGTGGCTCACGCGTCGCGATGCGATCGTGTGCTGCTAATGATTGTGCATGCTGCAATGGCGATGGCTGATGGCTGACGCATTGAGCAGAAAAGGGTCTCTTTCTTAGTCGATTTGCCAATTCTTGTCCTCACCCATGTGTTCCCAGAATGAGCACCCCATGGGCCCGTGGTGCGTGCAGGGTGAATAAGACATAATAAGACTAAGGCCTGTCATCATTTGTTATGTTTTGTTTTCGTACTAGTCGCATTTGACAGAGATATGACAAAGTTTTGTTACTGCTCAAGAGCAGCATCAAAGGGCGTTTTTCACCAGCTTGTTGACAGGGATGGCTGAAGCAATTCCGTCGTTCGCCTCCAAATCCTACCAACTGAAGTCAATGCCTTGGTTAGGCACCCAAGCACCGCAGCAGCTGGACACCTGGAGTCCTTGGTATAGAAGACCCCACTCAACACCACGCGGCGTCTTGGAGTGGCGGACAGCGGACAGCGGGTGATGCCGCCTGATGCTGCCTCAGTCGATCCGGACCTCGGCAGGTGCTGGAGCAATTCAAAGTGGGCCAAGTGCGAGCACCCGGAGGGAAAAACGGAGAAACGGCTAGGCGGGTGTGATCCAAGCGATGGGGCGGTGATCCAACTGATGGAGCCGACAAGTGGAGGAAGGTGTCAGCAGGGTTAGGTCGGGTGGGGTCGCGCCAACGGCACCACTTGCTAGCAAGCTTGCTCAGTTTGTTTGATGAATTGTGCCAAGACTTTGTCTTGGAGGAGGGGTGTTGGCACAAGTGTTGCCAGTGCCTTTCAAGTCTTTTGTAGAATGCATCAATCTTGCAGGTCCCTCATCTAAAAGGTAAAGGAATCACATAATCACATCAGGTAGGCCGGATTTAAAACCAAAAGCCAGGACCCACTCCTTAAACCTGAACCCCACTTGGCCCCGAAAGCACGCCCAGTGCAGGCTCCTTTCCGATCACCGCGCCGTTCGCTCGCCCGCTCGCTCGAGGCACGCTGCGTGGTGGTGGCCATGGAGAGCCGTCGGCGAACCGAGAAGGCGGGGGACAGGACGGTCGACGAGCGAGCAGACGGGCGGTGTGGTTCCGGCACCGAGAAGGCGGGTGCACTTCGAGACAGGAGCTCCGGCACTTCGTTTGGGGGCCTGAAAGAAAAGATGAAAGGAGAATGCCTAGGTGCAAGGTTTTCCTGCGATTGGTTGCTATATTGGAACGGTCATGTGAGGTCAAAAGAGGTAGCTTGTATATTGGAGGGTGGGGTTGAACAGCCATCCCATTGAACTGACTTGGAGGTTGTGATTTTGTTCTTAGTTGAGGCAGACGCAGACACGACTGCCAGCACTTGACTGTGGGTCAAAACCAACCCGGTTGACCCTTGTAGCCCGACCATGTTTGCTGGTTTGTTCTGTTGCTTTTTCGTGGTCCACCCGACTCGTCCAGTGCCATGATGCCACATGGTCCATGACACCTCGGTGGAAGTTCCCCCCACGAAGAGACGAGCAGAATGAAGGGATGAGGCGTCCAACGTTGGGGATGAGCGTCCTCCTCGTGAAAGGCTTATTAGATTGGCAAGAGGAGCTTCTCTCAGAGCTCCCGGAAAACCAAATGACAGCACTTTTTGGTAGACTCGACAGACATGCGCCGACCTCAGCACGTTAATTTGTTGGTGATTCCTCATCCCATGTTACGTATATATATATATAGATTTTAAAAAATATATATATATATATGGCCAATTAAATGTGGACATGTTTTAAGTATAACAACAAATCAATATAGGTTGAATTGGGCATGCCAATGTGCCTTGCCCCAAGATTTGCAGGGTTTTACTTCATGATACTCATGCTTTGTTTGCCCTACCGTGTGCCACCTTGGCTTCGAAAGTGAAGCGTAGCGCAGGGCAGCTTTCCAGATGTTCCCGAAGTCTTCAATGAGAACTAGAACTGAACCACCTGAAGCCCCAAATTATCATAAATTATCCAAACAAAAAGGGGGAATGCTTGGAGATGTCTAACACATGAAGCGCTTTCCAAATTTGTGCTGACTACCATTGGGCTCACAACGATATAATATCCGATGTCACTCCATGTATGGAGCATATGATGTATGCCAGTCCCATGTGCGTGTTTGGGGACCACTTTGGATCCTCACTCATATATGTCTACTATCCCAGACGTCTACGTCCTCGCCGGGCGCCTGCCGCGAGGTCGCCACGGCCGTCCGCACCTTCTACCCAAAGATGCCCATGGTGGTGCGTGCACACGTGGGGGCACCTGGCTAGTAACTAGTGGGCAACAAATATCGGTGCGCTGCGCACCGTTTTTTGGTGCGCTTTTTCGAGGCAGTGCGATGACGTGTATGTTTTATCATGTTTTCTTTGTCGTTGGATGATTTGGGATCCGTGTGTTAGCCTCTGCCAGTTAGTACAAGGTTTCAAGATGTTGGAAGACATGAGAATCAGTCTCAAAAGTGCATGGGTGGTCAACATGCTGCATCAATACAATGAACAAGTTTATATACCATCCACATACCATCCACCACTTCGTGGCGATGCCACATATTTTTCATATATCACTTGGGCCTGTCCAAAGTAAACCTGTAACAGGCAGTAAGCAAGAACATCACAACTTTTGAGGAAGGCCTGCAACCTTAGCATAATCATCGACTGTTACTGGCAATAGGATAGACCATGATAGACCCAACATATATCACCCAATGTCCATCAAATCGCTCAGAGATGCCACGCAGTTGCACCAATGGCGTGTTCGCGTTACGACGCGCGCCGAGTTACCCAGGATGAAACGCATGTCGAGTGGCTGGAAGAGAACTTGAACGTCCAGGCATCGGTACTTCCCGTCCACACGAGCTTCGGATCCGGTTCTGAGGCGGTGGTTGTGCGGTCTGGGGGGAGTCTGAGGGGGGATTTGGAAGGTTTGGATTCACCATCCACCTGTTGGGGTTTCTTTTGTATTGGAAGGTTTGTGGATGATGTGGTAGATGTGGAGAGCATTAACCGAGTCCATTCCGGCTGAGCTGCCGATATTCTTTCTCGGGCTTTTTGGGGGGCACTTTCTTCAATTCGCAGTTGAGCTTCCTCGAAAAGGATCACAGAACATGAAGGTCATTTGCCCGATTTTGGGCCATGTAGTGACTACAGGACACAACTATACTTGGTGTCTCATATCGGCTGCCTCGAACGAATAGAAGATGTCTTGCACCATGCACCCGGCATGTCACGAGACCGGACGCGTCCAGGCCCTCGTGCCCGAGATGATCGCGATACGTGTGGGGCTCGGCGGATGGCGTGAGGAGGAGAGAGACCTGGTATAGCCCTGGTGAATGGCATGATTGGATGGATTTGTTGTTTAAACGTCTTGACAGTGGAGTATATATACCTGGACCTTCCACAGGTGTGTTTTTTCTGCCGTTTGGCGAAACAGCACAAATTTCAGTCGTTTGCCGTCAAAAACGCCGTTTCATTTCAAAAGTGACGTTTCGATGTTTTTACAGAGGTTACCAAACTAGCAGTTGGCAAAAGTCGCCGTTTGGTCGGGAAAAGTCGCCGTTTCAAAACCTTGACATACCATCGAAAACATGTCAATGCAAAAAGTGCTTCAGTACAAAATATTTGGCGCTTGCTTGAAAAAACAGTTTTGATTGAAAAGGCAGAAAAATGCATACTTATGAAGACCCAGGTATGTTTTATAGTCAATTCTAGATCGACAGATAGATGGAGAGATAGAGTTGGTCCATGATTGCTGAATGGTTCATAATTTCGATTGTACACATGTTCTGTTTTAGCTTGTTTAGCTTTGTCGCTGATTGATGAATGCAGGGTATATGCAGTAGTTGCGGATATGCACGAAACAGTGTCGCGAGACACGTGTTTTTAAATAGCGCGTGGTTCGTCTCCCAAGTGTGGTGCATATTATTGTATCACACTCCCTAGGGATCCAAATAGCTTCTCAGATGGTGATTGGAGACACCGTTGTGTGCGTGCCAGGAGGGTCCAGTCGTACCGAACCTGAGAAGGTGCTTGGATCCCTATACCAGGGGCCCTCAAAACCATGAAAAATATAGGTTTTCACATACTGTACAAAAACCATATGGTTTTTGCTGGGGAAAACCCGGTTTTTAATGGTTTGTGGGGCCCTGGTAGGGACTATAGTTATAAATACGGCTGGAGAGGACCAAACGCTTACAGCGCAGACACGAGGTCCTCAGGGGGTGGCAGATCCTTGGGTGAACTGAAGCCCGAGGTTGTAGACCAGTCACCAGGTCTACCCAGCGAGTCGCGCCAGGGGCCAGCAAGTCTCCCTATTGAAAAGAAGAACCCCATCTCAAGTCAAGTGCTACCACCTGGATCTTGAGAATTTCATGTGGAATCGAGGAACTGGCGAATGTGTTTCAATGAGAGAATTGGCATCAGGGTTTTTCAGGTAAACCAGCTCTCAGTCCCTTACTCCATCTCAGTCCCTTACTCCAGAAACACAGGACTAGCCAGAATACTATGCCGTTCCTTGACCTCTCTACCAAAACAGCTTCCAATGGACTCTCTTTTTTGGGGTGCTGCACCTCTCCGCCGCATCTTGTGTGACATCCTGCAGCCAAACTCAAGGCCACTGAACCGTCGTTGCAGCCAGCAAAAAGCTGGTCAATACTCTGCGAGAACGCAAGACCATCACCAAACTCAACAGACACGGTGAAAAACTTGGGAAAGAGGCATCGTTTGGTCATCTAAGGGTTCTCTGACTCCTTCACATCTTGTTCTGAGATGCCAATGTGACGCCTGAGGAGCTACAAACAATAACAGAAACATACATTCATTTACTGTACTTCATGTTGTGCATTTGTTCTATTTGTGGAAGGGCCTCACTGCTTTTTGGGGCTCTTTCTGGCGGAAAACGAACACCGCAGCGACCGCATGCAACCGTCAGCCATGCACCTCACGCGATGGGCAAGCTTGGTCTTCGTGGTCTGCACGGCTTGGGGCGAGTCCTGCGACTTTGAGGAGTGTGCGAAGTCGTCTGGTCGTCGTCGCACCACCCGACCTGTGAGGCTTTCGTCGTACATCGTGACGTGCACACCACGGTCGTTACACAAACCAGTCGAAGGGTTCGTTATTTTGGACTTCCGGCGGTTTTTCCGGCTCGCTCGGTTGGCTCGGGTCAAGCTTTCTCATGTTTGTCTTGCTTGGGGGGTTGGTTCGTCCCTGACGCGGCCACAGCTGGTTTGGCTGTTGTTTCTCAGCAAGGCAACTACCACCTAGCCCTTGTTTGGGACAGAATCAACTGTTCCGCATGCGTTCTTTATTTTAGCCCTTGTTTGGTTGAGCTTTTCTTTGTGTAATTTGGGAGGGTTGTAATTTGACCGTGCTTGCTTGATATGACGCGATGCCATCGGATGCACTACATATGCAACATGTATTCTCAGGGGACAACCAACGCAGAACCACGTGAGTGATGCCACTTTTTGATTTTCTTGACCGAAGTAACCCTACCCAGGGTGGATTCACCTGCACCCTTCTTTGGGGATCGGGAGCGCTCCTCTCTCGAATAGGAACAGGCGGGGAACAGATTCGAACAGATTGAACCACTTTGAACAGGTGAACAGTTCCGAGCAAATGAACAACTTGTTACTGAGTTCTGGCAACTTGTCTAGTGAACAAGCGAACAAGTGAACAGGTGTACAGATTGAACCACTTGGTACCGTTCTTAGACCAGTGCAAGTCTGGCTCCGGAGTCAGTAATGGCTCGCCTGTTGCGGCGTTCTTCCCGGAGAATGGTCCCACAGAACATTGAGTCGGGACCGCGGTTTGCTTTTTTGGGGGGACTTCAAAGCGAGGTGAGAAAGGTGAGAGACCAGACAAAGCAGCCAAAAGTGCCTAACATCATCCACTCACCTTAGGGATCTTAGGGCCTAAAATCCACACGGGGGGGCCGTGGAAGTCCCACAGGAGAATCGGGGTGAGTAGGGGTCGGGTCGCATCCAGTGAGCGAAAATCGGCGGGTCGGTCGCTGCCGCGTCGCGTGGCCTCCTAACCCATCCCGTCGACCGACCCGGTGGTCGCAGGAGGGGAGCCTCATTCAAAGGCAGCCGAGAAATGAGTCGGAGATCCAAGAGGTCGAGGAACACTTCAAACAGTTGCAGTGACTTGGAGCCCCCCCCCCCGGGAGCGATGGCTGGACCTCTTTTGGGGGGGACCATGGGGGACCCAGAGCAGTGGAGTGGAAGGAGTGGAAGAGTTATATAAATACTTTACCCCATGAACATGACTAATGACTCATCCATTTAAAGAATTATTCCGCCATAGAATGCTTTGGATGGTTTGATGGGCAAGTTTCATGTGAAGCGAGTGGAACATGGGGACCGTGAAAATAGAGTAAATAGATGTCAAACTGGGAGCAACTTCACCTGAAATAGATCTAAGAGCGGGAATTCTATGCAGCAGAAGCTTTAAACAAGCACGTCCCCCAAAACAACTTACACAATGTGCAGTGCATTGATACGATGCAAGCTACGCAGACCATGGAAAAGGATAAAGCAAACCTTAGCAAACCTCCAACAACGCCAAGAGATATCACCCGGGTGCGCCGGGCGGAATAGACCTCATCCCTAGGCCTCCAGTCGTACCTTCTGAGAAGGTGGGACTGGGGTGGGTGCCAGGAGGGTCCAGTCATACCTTCTGAGGAGGTACTTGGAGATGTAGGGCATTGAAGATCTTTGCTCATTCACTCGACCTTTCTCAAACATCCCAGAGAAAGCACGGAGCGGTTGAGGAGCTGGAAGCCTGAAAGAGGTGGAACTGGAACATTGCCATGGAGCAGGGCCTCCCCTAATAAGGGGTGTCTAATTATAGCTCATTAGAGGTTATACTGTTTTCGGGGTATCCATTCACCACCCCGAAACGGGGGTCCTGGTATTAGTAGTTTAGAACCCCAGGCTTTGGAACCGTTTTGTTTGCATTGCATGTTTTCGCACCAGATCGAGTCATGAAACCCACACGATGTGTACAGATTGTATGAGACTTCCGAGCATTCACCTACACTGACCCCACCTCAACAGGTCTCAAGAATCATCAAGAACCTATACAGTCCCGGTTTTCGCCTTGGGTGATCTATATAATCTGCCCTACACCTCCAAGTACCTCCTCAGAAGGTATTTGGCCCCTCCAAACCCACCCCAAACACCGAACCTCAGAAGGTAGGACTGGAGGCCTAGGGGAATCCTTCGTTCCTCACTGTTTCGGCCGTTTCCTTGGATCCTCAGGCGTGGCCTCCACAAACATCTGCTCGGCACCACGGTCATCGGCGCGACGGCGGCGCCGAAGGGCGGAACCTGCGCGCTGAGTGGCCAACAACGCTGCGCGGTGTCGGCGATGAAGGGCACCACGATCATCCAACCGGGGGGCCGGACGTCGTGCTGCTCGGTGCAGATGACGGATATTTTTTCGAAAAAAGGGGACGCGGAGGACTGGGATGAGGCGACGGTGGTTTCAGCTATGATTTATGGTTTATATTCGCTTAGATGAATGGAACCCCTCCATTTCGAGGGATCCATTTCGCATTGAAATGGTGAGGCTTTCTGAAGAAGATCGAAGCTATACATTGTAGAAGATCGAAGCCGCTGACCTCGTGCTATCAATTTCATGGGTAGCCGCTGGGTAGCCCAAGTTCGTTGGCACCAGTCGGAACATCGGACCTGCCTGATGGGATGGACCATGATGGATAAAGGAGGATGCATTTTGAATGAAATTCCATCATAGTCCATCCCTACAAGTCCAGTCTGACCTCGTATACAACCTGTTTTTCCCTTCTTGAGTGGTGCTTTTGTATGACCAACTCGGTCAAATGAGGTCTTTGGCTTGTAGGGCATGTATGACTATTTTAAGTACCCAGCACACATGACCATCGTCAATCACCGCCCTCAGTTCACAGGAAACCAATGGTTTGAAACGGTCATTACACTATGCATCACCATACCACAGCCATTTGGTGTCATGAATCATCCTCCCAGCACAGCAGAGCTCTTGTTCTGCTCCTCAAACGGCGCAACCTCCGGGCGTTCTGGGTGTTCTTTCCGGGGAACCGCTCCGGGCGTTCCGGCCGCCTTTCGTTCGGCTTGCCCAGGTTTGCAGCAGGATGGAGGGCCCTACCAGTTCGTGGTGCGACCAGGTGATGCCCAGAAACTGCTGATCTCGTTCCAAGGCGTGAAATGAGTTGGAGCGGAGTGGGTCGGATTGGATTGGTACAGACACGACTAATGGGACTGCCAGCCAGGACTGCCGATCAGGCCAGGGGTGGTGCGTTTGGGGGGTCAATGTAGGCATTTATATGGCATACATGGAGTGTCTGGGTATAGTAGGGTGGCTTGTGGCCTTTGACATAGTCGTTCTAGCGCCTTGAACACAAACGCTCGCTGTGCGAGCCACCCAATGAATCCATTCATCAGGGCCCGGCAAGGTGAGAGGCAGAGGGTTTGGGCAGCTTGAATTTGCTGTAGTTCATGTCATGTGCATGTCCATGTCACTCCTTTTCTACGAGATCATTGGTTCACATTGACGTCACATGCAACTCACCACAAAGGCAGGAGTTTGCGAGACGTGCTTGGTCACATGTGCTTGGTGCAGCTCCAAGTGTTCATGATCAAACACCACGAAGTCATGTCACATCTCTGGGGCCTCCAAGATGGTTGCTCCCAACATGTGTGCATACTTGGCGGCCAAGTGAGCTTCTTGCTGAGTCTTAGCTTTTTGTTGCTCCCAAGCCAAACAGATGCCTCAATATGCTCAAACTCATTGACCCGCATATGGTTTGATCATGTTTTGATCTATACATCCTTGTACTTCCCACCCTGATAGCTTTGAGGTCTCCCAATGCCCCAGATGGGGATCCGCGCACATTCACAGAAAAGCCGAACAGTCCACGCTGTCAGGCGGTGGTGCTTGTTGGGAATCCACCAGCTTCAAGCACGCCTGCGTGGCTGACATCCAGGAGCAGAGCAGTGCTGAGTTGTGGCTGACGACGGCGTAGGTGCTTTGCCTTGGTGAGCATGAAGGAAGCATGGTGAGGCCTCAGACCTCCGACTTCGGCATGGGCTGGTTGAAGACATGGGGGGTGGGTCCAAATTGGTCTTCCAATCACTCTGAGTGGTTGTCAGAGCTCCACTCCCCAAATTGGTTTGTCCGAGTGGTTGCTGGGAAGTAGGTGGAGCTCACTGAGCAACCACTCTGATCTGCACATCTTGGCTGAGCGGATTTGAGCGGGCCTGGCCCAGATGATTTGCTGGGCCGAGGCAGCGTTGTTCGCCGTCCGAAGACCAAATCCGACTGGTGGGACCGGTGGGAGCCTTCCCAGACACGAGCACCTGTCTGGGACTGCCATAGGACCGCCCCAGCCAGACCCCCAAACGCACCACCCCAACTGATTGGCATATATGGCATACATGGAGTGTCTGGGATTGTTGGGGTTGCAAAGCAGTGGAAGCCCTTTGGAATCCTTTTCCCTTGGACTTTGGACTCTTTGGGGCTCAAAACGGCTCGCGAGCCCGCCGAACACGCTTCGGCAGGAGGCCTTGTCGGGCTCCGGGCTGCTGAGTAACAGTGGCCCCCTGAGCGATGCCCAGAGGTGCGAGAACGGGCAGGGTGAGGTGGGGCTCCAAAAAGAACAACGTAAAGGAATTCAGTGAGCTCCCTCCATTGCCAGGGCCTTTTCAGCCAAAATATCGGCTCCTAAGTGAACAGGGTGATTTTTTGGGGGCATGATATGATGAGAGGTGAAGGATGAGTGGGGAAAGATACGGACCACGATTGTTTGCCTTTTGTGCAGAAGGGGGCGTAGGGCACTGAACAAGTCCCGTTGGCGGCCCAGAAGTGAAGACAATGAAGACAATGTCGCACTGAAGTTACGCTTGTCAATGTTAGTGATTCGGTCCTGAGTGGAGTTCTCCTGTTGGGTCGGCAAGAAGTGCGGAAGATGGGGCGCACGCCCCCCAAAGACCTTTTGGCTTCAAGGCAAGAGAGTGAGCAGATATTCCTGGAGGCCCTGTGATTCAGATGGCTTTGACATTGAAGTACAGGAATGGCTTCATTGATGCAGAGGCGATGCCCCCGCTTCAGAGCGAAGTGCCACGTGCCAGCAGTTTGCCACCCAAGATGTCAATGGTCCAGGTTGAGGAGTTCTTGCAAGAAGAGGAGCCGTTTTCTTTAGCGCATGGAATGATCAGGAATGGTCAGGAAACCACGTTCTTGTTTGATGCTCTTTTTGGGACATCCTCCACGTTGCCAGCTTCTTCATGTCGCTGCATTTGACCCACCAGTTCAATCCAGTTTAGCTAATATGGATTTTGAGCGTTCGCCCTTGATTGAATTGAGGGACCCCAAAAAGAACCCTACCAGCGAGACTGCTGGGAGTCGCAGCATCAAAAGGCAATCCAACCAGGAGTTTCTCAGGGGTGGCTATTGGACCCAACTGAAGATGAGTTATTTGACTTCTGGAATGTTTAACGTTTGTACGTGCTTTCCATTGTTTTCATGCCCGAGAGCTCGCAACGTAGGAGAGCTCGCAGACCTATGTGCAGATGCTCTCCGAGAACCTCTCCAATCCTCTCGATCGCAGCCCGCTCGCCCCTGGACGAACCCGAGCCGGAGCTCACTCACCGAGCACAGAGATGGTGCTCAGTGGGAGCGTTGGACACCCAGAGCTTTGCCGAAGGCCCTGCATCTTCTGGATGGCAGGAGAAAATAACGCGTATATCGATGTGTTGATGTAATTACTGAATCCCGAGTCCAGGAATTTCCCGGAGTGGTGCCAATAGTAGAACTGGACTTCTATGGGAATATCAACACAGAAATGATCGGAAACCTCAACCTTTTGTTGTTCTTGTATCGGACGTTGAGGGCATGAGGTTCCTGATGCTAGGACCCGGGCAGTAGACAGTAGACACGGTATTTGTTCATGGGTTTCAATAAACCAATCTCCTGTGACTCAGTGACAGAACAAGATCGCGGATGTTTGCAATAATGCGGACTTCTGGAGTTCGTTTTTCTTCTCCTTCCCTTCCCACGAGGACACTGTGAGAACGGCGCTGGTTGTTCTTTCTGCCACCTTACGCACGAGAAGGTCGCCAAGCCGGACAAGAAGCAGAGAAGCTTCCTGCAGTCCTTATCCCACCGGGACTTCTTCGGCCTGATCTCTCACTTTTGCCGTGAAAAAGCGACGAACCTCAACATCACCCAAGAAGCTGGCGAAGTCTTGAAGATTTTGCAAGCGGAGGCTCCGAAGAATATCACACTGAGAAAATCCTGGAATTGGAATACACCACCTGTTTGGTCTTCGGAGTTCATGGTACTCCCTTTGGGCCAGGCCATCCACGTTGGCCCATGATGATTTCAGGGAGCGCAACCCATTGTGCTAAATGTTATAAAGGAAGTTGGCCAAACCAACCAACCAACCTCTGGTTCATTCTTTCAGACCCTACTACTACTGCAAGCAGTTGCCGTGTTTTGCCCGGAAGTTGCGTACAGATGTGAAAGTTCACAAGCTGTGGCTCTTGGATCGGTGGATCGGTTTCTTGATGCGATCATTCTACACCTGCATGGTTTGACATCACCTTTTTCTTCAAGACAGTGGTTTGGTACTATGAAAACACGCTCGCCCGTTCGCCCCTTTTCGATCTTTTGGCCGGTAGGCCGCCTGTTCTTTGTGCCCGAACGTTCCTGGATACCTTCTCAAAATCTTGGTGCCTCGACTGAAAGAAGCCGGTGGAGAAGCTGAGGTCACGATCAATTGGCTGCGGATGTGCTGCATATGTCTTCAGTTAGACGATCCCATGGACCCTGAAAACCACATGCTCTGTTGAACTTCCTCATATTCACTCCAGTTTGCAGGTCTCCGGCTCCTCACAAACCCGCCATTCCCCCTGAAACTTGCCACATCCTCACATCCACACGTCCTCACACTGGCTGGTGACGGAACTGCTCCATTCCCGGATCGACGGCAGACCCGATCAGCTTCGGTTCCCACTCCCCACCACTTGGTGGATCCGTCGTCTCAGTCGTGGCATCCCTCCACCTCTGAATCCAGTGTGGATCCCTGAGTCCGGGGCTTGGTGCGTCGCCCTCCAAGGCCCAGATGACTTTCTCGCATTTGATCATGCTAGCTATCAACCGCCTTGCCCGTGCGGAGGGCATCCACGGCATGGTGACAGCGTCCAGGGTGAGTGAGGAATTCGTGGCCTGGTGGGGTGTTATTAATTTTTGTTTTCAATGTAATTATTCTCACCAGGACAGAGGTAAATGATGTTCCCAGGAAACTGAGTTGGTGACTTAATTCTACACAAGCATGCGGCACGGTTCTATTCAGAGACAGATTTGGATGGTTTTGTTGTGTTTTGTTCATGGCTTGAAAGGTACCAAGTGTATTGCAGATGCTGCTAGGCTACCAGGAAAAAGAGACCCCTCGCCCAATGCGACCGGCCCAGGATGAGTTGCGGGCATGCGTGCGATCGCGAGATGGTTTCTGAGGAACGTGATCTATCATGATCTATCATGGTTTGGACTCTGAGGAGTGCACCGTTTTCCAGTCAAGGCTTGCCCCAAAGGGGCTGCTGATTCGCTTGACACGCTGTTAGGGACCAGCGGAAGGCTTCAGCAAAGACTCGTTCCGGACATCTTCCATCGTGTTTCCCGCGTAACCTATACGGGCACATGAGTGGGAACATGTTACTTCCTGGCGAGCACGATATTTTTCCATAGACACATCAGAATCTCGCGGCTCATCCCAAAACCCGCAGACTCTTCGGCTGGGCCCAGCCTCCGAGGCTCCTTTTGCTGAAACCGCAGACTTCAACCCCACCTTAGAGGTCGACGACTGTCCACAGAATCCTGGGGGAATTCATGGGTGGTTTGGTCGCCCAGGTGGTATGTACGCCTTATTTAAGAGCGAGAACAACTCGTCACTCGTCTCGCTGCTTTTTGACAATGCCTTGGGGTAGCGAGATGCATAGCAGACCAGAAGCGATGGAAAAAAAACTGCACGTGCTTTCCAGTCTTTAGATGTCTTTAGAAGCCTTATGTTGCAGCCTTCATCAAGATAATACTCCTCTACATGAAAGGTGGGCCTCCCCGCAGGTTATAGCGCAGATGTCCTCAAGGTGGTACATTGAACATGCGCATGTGAGCTTTGGAACAGCAACCGCCCCCACAGGTTCTCCTCATCGATCAATCGATCTTCGCGGGGTCTGGTTTTTCCCACATGAAACGAAAGGCGCATTGGACCTACCGAGCTACCCATCCATCCCTTAAGGATCCAGGTGGGTCCCGAACCTCAGGTAGGGTGATGTGAACCTCTCCACTGTGGCCTGTAGGTGCCATAACGTCGGGTGCAGGAACGTACCGAACCTGAAAGAGGGTACGAAAACGGATCCCATGGGTGGGAACGCCCTCCTTGGTGCAGAAAGTGTTTGCGTCTTTGCCTTGGGACCTGACCTTTCTGCAGAGACACAGAGTCACACAGTGATATATGAATATCTAAAATGAACAAGTTGAACATGCAAAGGTAAGACAAATACCAAGGACATCCAAGGACACTTCGCTCCGGTCAGCATGTTTGGGGCGCATGTTGGTGGGAAAATACCGACTCTTCGGAAGTGGGGTCCTCGGGTCGGGGCACATCAACCTCAGGTCGGACTTCTATCCAAACACGTTGGTCCATGACTTCTACAATGAACATATTTAGTGAACCATCTTGCAACAAGCCGCGAACGACGGGAACGCTTATAGCTAACAGAAAAAACGGACATGGCCAGAACGCCTTTTTCAAAACGCCTGCCAGCTACCGGGTTCCCCGCGTTCCGGTCGTCGCGTCTTCCGGTCGGTGGGTGCGCGCAGGAACCCCTTGCGAGACTACACGGTGGTGGAGGCGGAAGACGAGACGTAACGCAGGTCATTTGAGGTATGGAGATAAGAATTGTGCTGATTGAATTAGGAGAAGACAAAGAGATTATGATTACATGAGATTACTGATTACTATCGCCGGTCAGTCATCTCACCAGATTCTGCCCATTTGAGGTCCAGATTTCACTGAATCCTCATACTTTGGATTTCATATGACAATCCACACTGCCTTCCAGTTGTTTGTGGGCATGGCCACTCGAACTCTTTCTTCTTGAGACGAGTCACTCGAGGCTTCCGGCCAACACCATGCGGATCCCTCCACCGGTGGAGCAGTCGTTTCGGTGGCTTGTTTCACTCGGCCAGGTGCTGTATTGCTCCGGCGACATCTTCTTGGGCGACGTCACGCAGCGCCTCGGCCGGAGGTGTCCGCCACCCAGTGACAGGCCCAGGTGGAGCGAGCGACGCCACTTGTTCGCTTCAAGCACAGTAGCTGGTAAAGCAGGTGAAGAAGGGCATCCCATGTGAAAATCCAACCCCTATGGATCCACATACCTTCTGAGAAGGTGATTGGAGACTATTTATGTGGGCTTGGAGGGTCCAATTACCTTCTGAGAAGGTATGTGCATCCATAGGGAACATGGGATCGACAAGATGGGAACACCGGCAGAAAACAGGGCACAGCCTGGAGGCTATGATGGCATCAGTTTGGTCATGTTGAGAGCCTCGCATAGTGACTTCATGGCCCCTGAGATGCTGGAAAAAAAGACACAAAGGAACCTCCAGAAAACCTCCAAGAGCATTGAGTAATGAAAGTGCTTTTTCTCACGTCAGATCAAAACAAATAGATAAAACATGATAAGACAATATTGACTCAGTTCAGAGCCGTCTTCAAGCTTCCATGCACCAGGAAACCGCTCCACACCACACCGACCTTCTGTCCCCTTCTCCTTTCAGGTCCTGGGCCTCCGGCCGTGGCCCAGCGCAACAGCTGCGCCAGGCGGGCGCGGTGAATCTGCGCGCGGTGCTGCAGTGGGCCGCTTGGACGGGAGAAGAAGAGGAGGACGCGGTGCGAGGCAGATCCGTGTGGTGCGACGCAGATCTGTTGGGATGGGAGGCGGATGGAGGTACATGGAGGTGGTGCCCGTCCAATGTTTTTCAGTTTGTCGGTCCCAGCCTGGTCGCAGTCGAAGCTCGATGGAGTATCCCAGACACGACCTGTCTGGACTGCCATAGGACTGCCGCCCCAGCCAGACCCCCCCGAACCACCATAACTGATCGGCATATTTGGCAGTCCCATGGGTCGCGTCTGGGGTTTTAGTTGATCGTTCTTTCTGAATCGTTTTTCTTCCCCGATCGCAGTGGGATCCAGTGGCATGGCTGTGGTGGTCGTCATGGCGGTCTTGGGCCTCAAGCGATCCAGATGACCTCTGAAGGTCTTGGGTGTGGAGAAGCTAAGAGATCTTCAATGCCCTACACCTCCAAGTGCCTCCTCAGAAGGTATTTGGACCCTCCTGGCATCCACCCGAAACACCTTCTCAGAAGGTACTTGGAGGCCTAGGGATGGACTGTTCCAGGCTGAAGGTCACTGAGCTTTGGTCAACAATAAAACCATTGAACCAGTCAGTGAGACTGGTTTCTGGTTCCACCTTTGCTTCTATTCCATGTGCTGCTTGCAAGGTACAGAAGAACTTCAAGAGCGTGACGTCCCTAGCAACCTGGCAAAGTATTCAGCATGTTGCAGACATTCTTCGTGGATCTTTGCAGATCTGTGAAACAACAAACAGGTTCCAGACCACCTGGCTATGGATAATGCAGTGCACATAGAGCAAGGTGCTCATGTTTTAATCCAATCATCCAACTTTGTGCAGCTCATTGACCTGATTTGACCTCAATGGTCAATGACCAGAGTGACACTTTGCTGACCACGGTGACATCATCCATGTTTTCGCGCTCATTGAGCCACATGAACTGGGCAAGGAATCTTTGAACACGTGGAACTTGCCTTAAGAAAGAAGAAATTGCAAGGTAAGGAGTTTAGATGGCAGTTCGCTGTCCTTTGCGGCAAAGTCCTACCTTTGTCCTACCTCCTCTGGGGATTCCTTCCCCTATGGATCCACAACATACCCTTTCAGAAGCTGATTGGACCTCTTGTATTGGAGGGTCCACGTCGTACCTTCTGAGAAGGTGGATACGGGTCAAAATCTGCATGCGGCACCCGTATCCAACGACTGCACCGGCTGCCGCCATGAGGTCATGATGGGAAGTTCCGCAGGCCCGGAACGCATGGACACGACGTATGCCGCGGGCAGCGTCCGTTTTTTTTTGGGAAACACCCTCCGGCGCCAAGATAGACCCTAAGATTCAAAGAACCAACTATAGATCAGAACCAGATCAATTTGTCTAATGGTCTTTGAAGGCTAGGGTAGACATCGACCGCCCCCAACATTTGGTGTAGCTGGTTGGTTGAGCGAACATCGTGCGTACTTTGAGCGAACATCGTGAACCGGTGGGCCCATTGACCCTTAGTCACAAAATCCTTTCTTAGAAGTTTGCTCATGGGAGATGCTTTTGGATCATGTTCCATGATGCATACAGTAAGCTGATCGAGTACCCATTCAGCGAACGTTTCTTGGTTGGTGTCCAATGAGTAGCATTCAAGGGCGGGTCCATCAACGTTCCGTCAACGGAACGTTCCATTGGACGGTGTGGACCCCAGGTCCCGCAGGCCCCCAGGCTAAGCAGGGTAAGTGCGCCAGCACAAAGAACAACCGATGAACATCAACTTGTCCAGCTCTTCCCTTCCCAAATGAGAAACATATCCTACACATGTCATCTAAGCTGTCGTGTGGTTGAGAGACCCGTGGCTTGGAAAGTGTAAAATATTGTAACATGCTGGAGAACAAAGGAGATATTTCTCAAGGCCTCATGTGTCAACCCATGTCAACCCCCTTTGATTTCGAGACTCATCACAGGTGTGAATTCGTTGGGGTGTGGAGTTTGCATGTTTTTCCTCTAGATGACTGCAGTCACTCAAACGGTTTGCCATCGCAGGTGCCTTGGCCGCTCAAGTTTATTCGCCCACCATTCTGGAGCTCATCCCCCACCAGAATGCAGCGGTGATCTCTGATTCCTATGCGGGCGTTTTTCCCTCCAACACGGAGGGGGCAGTGCTTCAGAGGTGGAAGGCGCATTGGATTTGCAAGTCAGCCCCACAGTCAGTTTTGCAATTTGTGTCCCTCAACATCTCAATTAGCTGGACATGCGTGGGCATGTTATAGTGAAGTGTAAATATGAGATTGACAGAGAGAAAGAGGGTTGGTTTGCTATAGCCAGGCTAGAGTAGTTCAAGAAAAACAACATCAACTCTCTTCGTCGCACATTTGGAGGCCTGCAGCTTGAACATTTTTTCACCCGAGCAGCAGCGGGCCTGTCAAGAGAGCCGAATCGGTCTACCAGACGTGGTGGCCAAGATCATCCAAGAGCATCCCACAGTGGTCACTTGGACCGGTCCTGTCAGCCTCAGAACAGCTCAGTCATCCCCAGTCGACTCTTTTTGGAGTGGCTCCACTGTCCACCAACCAACTACTCTTGAGTTCAGCTCCTAAGCCGGTGGTACTCAACAAGTACTCTAAGAAACTGTTTCTTAAACCACCACTTGGGGGTTGACTGAGCCAAGAGTCCTGATAGGAATGTAACTGGTGCCAAATATGGCGCCGTTGGGGAGGATGTGGAGGATGTCGGGTGATGTAGGTAGGTGGGGGGGAGGTGGGATATTCACTTCCGAGACGGAACGCCCTTCCAACTGCCAAATGCGGCAATGCTGGGTATGTAGGTTGACAGCTATTTGCCTTTGGATGAATATGTGCATGTATAGCTACGGGGGGTTGCGTTGGATGTGTCCAACAAACTGTGGTTTATATATTGCTTATGAGCTGCTTATTGTGCTTACAAACAGGTCAACCGACAAATAGGCTACAGCAGTTCCTACTGTAATATATATTGCTCTCAAAACCTTTGGCCACACCTTCCTTTGCGGATATCAGAGGGCAAAGAGTAGAGAAACAGATGACGCACCAGGCATGCGAGGTTGTGACACCTATTTTCTGTAGCAGGCCTTCAACAAATTCAAACAATGTCTTACCACATACCCTTTGTCTCACCAACATGGAAGTGGAAAACCTTGGGCAACCACTGCGTTGGCCATGGGTTCCATCGTCTTCCACCAGTCTGGTGAAATTGCCGTTCGCCTGGTTCCATGTGGGTCTCGGAATGTGGGTGCTGCCATGCCCCCTTCCCTCGAGGCATATGGCTTCATCCAAAGCAAGGCGGAAACTCGGCGGAGAGCGAGCGTGTCACTCCCGGACTATTTTGTCAAAAGTGTAAAAAAACCCACACACCCGTTTGATCACCAACCGCTCTTCGTGTTTGTTCATCCACCGCTTTTTGTTTTGTTCTCGGGCGCCAGGCCATCATCAGCGCGTTCATGGAAACAACTCGTCAAAGATATCGTAACTATGGATGTGATACCGAGGGATTCGCTTGGTGCAGCCGAGCAGCCTTCGTGCGTCCAAAAAGGGTGTCTTGAGACCATCCCGGGACAGCGTCAAACTGGTTGACAAGAAACCGTTGATGTTCAGCAGAGCGGGAGCTTGTTCCACTTTCTTAATCAAAAGGTAACTGATGTCTCTTGGGATCTCCAGCTTTCCGGAAGGTTTTTCTTCCAGCCTGCTACTGCTGGCACCTTCTTAGATGGCCTTATAGCTTCTTTTTTTGATGCCAGCCTTGCATTTTCACGTCGACTGGGCGTGACGGTGTGACAGATGTTGAAAGGCTTTCCCAAGCCGCCCGAATCGGGGGTGAACAGACTGGGGTCTCCTCGTTATAACTTAACCAGTGCTTGATGCCATCATTCCATGCCATGGCTTCTTTTTCCAACGATGTGGCTAGGCCATCAAAGCACATCGGTTTGCTATCAGCACTATGACTTTTGCGTGCACCAACGGTGTGTTTGTAATGACCTGACTCATCCAGGGAATCACCCGCGGAAGAATAGATTTTACCAAAGAGCCTATTGCTTTACCCAGCACCTTGAAAGGGGTCACCGATGCAAGCCCCAGCCCACTACTATCCAGGATCCCGATGAAACAGCCCTTGGAAGGTCCAGGACGATGGACATTTTACGACCCAGACGCTTCAAGGTCTGGACCCCTGACCCGAGGATTCGGGTCCAGGGTCGCGTCTGGGTGATTTTACATAGAAGCAGGTCCACCTTTCCCCCCGGAAGACGCCGTGGGAAGATGGGCGAGGACGGTTCGACTGTGACACGAGCAACAGTCTGGAGAAAGAGAGGGAGAGACTGGATTGGTGAAATGCCCTCTACCAAAAGGGCTATCATATCATCATATCTCCATCTCCATTCATCTGCCAAGACCCTGGTAGGGGTGTGAATTGGAATTGGTGGTATACGCGGTGTTTGTCAACCACCCAGAGATTTGATTCATCCAGCAGCGCTTCGGACGGACAGATGCTCAGGACTCCTTTCAGCGTTTGTTCTACGAACTGGTGGCCTTCACGATCCAGAGGAGCTTTTCCAAGTTGTCTGGGCCCTTGTGCCTTGGCATCGGACCGAAAGCGAAGCGCCGGTGGTGAAAAAAAACCGCTCAGTGGAGCAGAGCTGGCACCCAGTCGGCCCTGGGGTGGCACTGGCTAGGTGCCCTGGGTTCCCAAACATGGGAGTAGGACTTTTCCACTGAAAGGATCTGAACCCTGCGGTCACTTTCCAACCTTTAAGAACTTGGCGACTTGATGATTGGGCCCAGAAAAGCAAAGGTCTCCCCAGTTCTGGGGCGTGATTCTTGGGGTGGGGGGTGCTCCAACGCCAACGTCCAGGTGGTTTCGGAGATGTTTGTGTTCAACCTTTATTGGGGATGAGCGAACCCACTGACTCATGATTTGTCAAGTGCTTTTACCGCTCGACCACTTAACCAGCACAGCACAATGAGATGTCTTGCTGTCCTCCATCCCGCTGCTTGGTTTTGCCGAATCCATGCGAAACAGATGGACCGTGCTGTGGTCCCTAAGAATAGGCCGTTCCCACACCAACCAGACGGAGAATGATTCGTTCTAACCATGGAGTTGGACGCCTTCGCAGTGTTTGGTCGGCCGTTGCACGGGGCCCTTGCACGGGCAAGCCGAGGTTTTACAAGCTCAGCAACCGGATTTTTAAGGCCCTGCCGGCGCAGCTTGCGGAGCTGGCGGAGCTTGGTGGAATGTAGGCTCTGGGAGTCTTAGGAGTCACTCCGATGGTGGGCGCTGCCTGGTGTTTAGCTAGGATCGTTTATAGGTGTTTGCGTGTTAAAATTAGGGAGACCTCCCACGACAGACCCGCTGGAAAAATGTGGGGCAAGACAACCTGGTCCAGCAAAACAAAGGGAGACCTGGTTTCTTCCCGAAAGGGGAGAACGCCGGGAGAGTCTCCTGACGTCGATCTTGGGGTAGCCGTGTTGTTCTAAGATGCATGCCGTGGAGCCGAATGACCTCGGCTATGAATGGACACCCGAAATCCGCGGTGCTGGGAGAGATGCCGTGTGGGTTCTTCTTCTGTATTCCTCGTTCCCAGTTCAAAAATGCCTCAAGTCACGGTGAGGTCGGCTGGTCTTGACCACAGAGCCGTGTTGCTTCTGTTGGATCAGCATCGAGGTTTAAGGGGCGCCAACGTGGACGCAGAAGAGTACCAAAAGTAGTAGGGGCTTGTGGCAGCAACGATGCATGCGGCACCGCCACTGCATGGGAAGAGCCGGCTAGCCAATGCCAGCTCTCGGAGGTGTGTGGATTCCTGCAGACGAGGCTGCGGATGGATCACGAACATCTTGTGATAAATTTGCATTGGGGTTATGGGTACTAGATGATGCTGGCGTGGTTTTCCCACGAATAGATCTTCGAGAAACAGGTGCGGGATTATCAGTAGGAGGGTTGGGGTGTGATAAGTCAATGACCCACTGGGGAGTAGGCTGACTATTGGCCGATTCCCGACATAGTGTGCGCGGGAGGTCCACGGTTGGGCGCTTTGGGTTGGAAAGGGTTGGTGGGAACCCTTTCCATGTACAGGACCTTTGCTGTGAGGTGTGCTGAGCAAAGCCCAGAACCCCCCCGACATGCGGTAGCAACGTGGACATGTGCTCCCGTCCAGCAGGAGTACAACAAGCACAAGAACTTTCTGCTATTTCTGGTGGATGGCAGCTCTGCTGCATTCGCTTCACCGTTTCTAACCGGACATCACACCTGGCCGAAGCCGTGCGTAAACGTGTGTGTTTCTTTTGTGTGACGTCTGTTCGGTGTGTAAGTTCGGTCCGGAGGGTTGTTTCGGGCTGGAATGTCTGGCAGTTCGCCCTCCACCTCAGCTGATTGAAGAAGAGATGCATTAGAGACTTACACTCCCAGAAATTGTTAATCATGGAAGCGGAACATGGCCACTTGGACCATGATATTTCCGCTACAAAACAGGTGGTGAACTCCAGTTCCATGATGGTTCGAGGGAGTGTACCACCTGTCCGACTTGAACACCCCCTGCCAGGACAGCACCCGCAGGTTCCTGTTGTTCTGTGTTGTTCTGGCATTCCGATGGTTTTCCTGTTGGTTGCTGGGGCGGAAGCTATTGCAATTCTCTTTGCGATGCATTGAACGTTCCACACTGTGCGCAGATAAATGTATAGAATAGAACCATCCTTGGAGAAGAGGCAATTCCACTGGGTGTTCATGCTGTTGGCCCATTTTAGCAAAGTTGCTAAAAACTCCCCGGAATCATCATGGAAGCGGATGGCACCACCTGTCAGAAACATGGTCTTCCAGAGGCCTAGGCGATCCACTTGCATGAGGATTCCTGAGAGTGTATGCAGGACTCAGGACTGAACATGCATGGACTACTTGAGGATTGCCAGTTGACCTCGCAAAGTGCCCGGCAGGTGACAACCACGAATTCAATTCTCAGAGGATTTGGAACAAGGCAGGGATCAAAGGTGCAGTCGACGCTTGGAGGAACGTCATCGGTCGGTGTGATGGTCACAGGGAATCCGATTCTGGCCGCTGGATGAGCTTTAAAGAGAAAGACACATATGGTTTGGTGGTGAAGAACATCGTAAAACAATGCTTGTGTTTAGTAAAGGCTGCGATCTTGAGGATTTGTATGGTGTTGTTTTTTATTCCGGTTCTTTCTTTGGTCAAGCTAATAGGTGAAAGATTTTAATTGATGCAAATGAGGGGGGAATACGGTTCGCTGGCCCTAGCTTCTGGATGAAGACGGGAGCCAACAGCAAAGGTAGAGCTACGGAATGGCCAGCCTAAGCCTGGCGTCGGCAGCCTCGTGGGGGCCACCGGACGCATCCCGGATGGAACCCCATTTTCAAGCCACGTCGGGGGCCGTCGGGGCGGTTCTTCGGAACATGGTTGAAAACCACTCAGACGGGTCACTTCTGTGCATGGGATCCTCTCACATCCCGCGGCCTGAGAAAACCTTGTCATGCCCGGGAAGTCGGCTGAGCCGGGCTCCTCCTCTTCAGAGACCCCCTCCGACCTCCACTGCCTGGAACGGATCCGACCGTCCGGCCGCTGCTTCTCGCGCCGCTGCCCAGGACGGTTCTCCACGCGGCGTTCTGAGTTTGCAGGGCTGGGTGCGCAAGGTGCGGAGCTTCGGGGCGCGGGGAATCCAGGGATGCCAAGTGGCGAAGTGAGGGGGAGAGAAGCCAGTTGAGCGCCATGTAGCGATTTTTTTGCCAAATGGAGATGGAAAGGCAATGCATGTTAGAGTATGGGCTTCCATTTGCTTTAGATTTTGGGACATATGTTAAGACTTATCAAGAGTTATGGACTGTACAGTAATTATAGGTGACAGTGATAGGTCACCCTAGATCTCTCAAGAGAATTAATTATGCCTGGTTTTAGAGGACTTGGTTCTATAGAACATGGTGACCCAAAAAACCAATCTCCCAACAAATCTCCAACCCAACCCCAATCGCAAGTGACCTATAGCTCACCCTCCTTTTCTTTCATCCCCTGAAATCAGCCCAAAAACACCCAGCTCGCCACGTGGCTCGACGTGGCTTCTCATCCACCGGATCCCGATTTCAGCGCCCCATTTCGCCCCCAGATCCGCTGTGCAGTGGACTTCTGGGACCATCTGGGATCTCACCTCGCTAGGTCCTCGCCCGGAGCTGTACCAGGTCCTTGGGCCGAGGGCACCTTGGAGAGACTGGAGGTCCAGCGTGGACCGGGTCAAAGCACCGCGAAGACCGCGTTTTCGTCTTTTTTTGGGGGGCAGCGAGATCAAGTTCACCAGCAACGGTTCTGGTTTTTTTGGTTTTGTTCGCTTCATGTACTTAAGAGTGGCCCAGTGGGTGCAGGAAGTCTGAGTCATCTGGAGTTCCACAGCTGGTTCTGACAATCCCATGGACACCGAGAATTGGCCCGTGCGAGTTTTGACCATGTTCCGAAGACCAACCCGACGTGGTTTTTAGAGTTCCATGTGGTCCTTTGCAGAGGGGTATTAATAAGTGGAGTTACTAGCGGGAGACCCAGGATTGGTTTGCTTGCTGGTCATGTACACCCCAAACATAGCTGTTGGTTGCATTGATCGCGACAACTGACCGAGTACCTATTACTACTTGGTGCTGGGCCCTGCTAGGCTAAAAAGGCTTAAGAAAACCATCCATTGGGTCTCTCCTATTACCAACTGTAACAGTTGGTGAACACTTACCACTATTCAGATTATTCAGGACGGCTTATACTAAGCAACATCATCCACTGCTACTGGTGATGGGATATACCCTAACCAGTACCCTAACCATCCATGTTTCAGAAGCTGGGGTGAGCAGAAATCACCACTTGGACTGGATCGGCCTATTTTGTTTTTCAGATTTATAACAGCCGCTACACCTTTTGTCATCAGGTCGGGGCTGTTGTTCGCCAATCATTTTGTACCAAGGGCCACACAAAGAATTGCCAGCCACCAGTCGAGAGCACCTTTGCATTACACTTTTTGGAGCTAACAAGGAAGTTTGAAACATGTCCTCTTGGAAGAGCAGATTCCGAATACCAAACAGGGGGTGCCATCCACGTAACCAAGTTCCGGTCCAGGGGCAGAATGTATATATTGACCACCACCGCAAGTCCTCCTGAAATGATCAGATCTCGTTCTTGCAGTGCTGGAGTGCAGAAGACCCCATGTGCAGTTGTAGGGCGGACAGTGCAGAACCAAAATGAACCAACCATGACTCGTTCTACTCAGACACTTGACTCCCTTCTGGAGCGGTTGGTTGGTTCAGTTCCAGCCAACCAAAGAGCGCACTTTTTTCAACATGCTGGACTCACTTGGCTCCCTTCTCACCCCGTTCCAACCTCCATCTCCCTAACCCCCCCCCGCGCCGGGCTGGAAGCGGCTCCGCTCCGGGCTTCCGCGGACGGTGCGGAGGATCAGGTTTGGAGTTCCAGGAGCACCGTTCAGGACCTCCAAAAGCAGAAAAAGGAGTTGAGTTCAACCTTGGTTTAAGGGCTTCTCCCCTCCAAACCTAAGGGGTCTTTCTCCCCTCCAGCCGGAGGGGACAGCCGATCGTGCCTCAGGAGGCTCACGAAGCGCTTGGATTCCACCAAGCTCAACTACCGCTACAACCGCGTCTTTCCCAAGGAACTGTGCTGGGCGTAGCGAAATTTGTAGCTTGGTGATGGATGACGGTCCGGGTTTTGTTGTGGATGTATGGGTTCAATGTTCGATTCATTCACTGAAGTGGGCAGCAATGTTTTTAACACCTGTACAAACAACAAGACTCTTTTTGAAGCAGCATAACTTGTAAAGCAGCGCTGCTCCTCGGCGCTCGTCGCAGCTTGGTTCCACGTCGCTGTCGCTTGCGAGGTGTCCCCGGCGGTGTGGCCCGCCGAACACGAACTCTTCTTTGGACTACACCGCCCTAGGGAAGTGGCCCACATGGAACCTCATGGCATGGACCCTTGGAAGACAGTTTCCTTCACAGCCTGGGGTTTTCAGGTTCCATGTTGATCTTCCAGGGCGTACCCTGTGCTGATTTGAACTGGGACTTCTCATGCACTCAACGCAACCGCACCAGCACGTCCCGGTCACAAATGTTCCGCAAACATGTTCAATCTCAGTTTGTGCCTCACATTGGTCGTATGGTTCCTCACGATCGCAGCTCCTTTCTTCTCATTCTCTCTCCTTCCCAAGCACCTATTGTTGGCTTTAGAGGTCCAACAGTGGGACCTCCCGCCACAGTTCCCCCATTGTTCCCGGCGGCGCTTCGACTGGTCGTTCGCCGGAACCGCTTCGTTGCGCCGATGCCAAGGAACTGAGAGCACCTGAGACGTCCGCGGCGTGAAAAGGGACGCCAGCTCGCGCGGAGCGCTCGGGCGAGCGGCCGAAAAGCGTATAGGTGAGATCGGTGGAGGTCGGCAAGCATCATGTGTGGTTTGTGGCCTGAGACCCCTGACTTAGCCATCAGTTCAGAACTGCCACCCTGAAGAGGTAGACCATGCTAAATTCTCTTGAAGTGTCCACTGAGGTTCGCTCCCACCGACCTGAGACGGACCACCGAGCACCGCGGACGGATGCCGAGGCTTTGGCACCGCCGTGATGCGCAGCCTGGGCTATCCGCAGGCGAGGAATCCGATAGGCTCCCAGGGGGTCGGCCTCAACAGGGGCGAAACGAAGCTCGGCCGGGCACCGACCGTTCGGCCAAAGACGAGCTGCCATGGCTTGCCTAAGCCAGTCAGTAGATCAGAATCACCAAAATAGGCATTTTTTTGGGGGGGGAGTGATCTCCCTACTAAATATGAAACAGGTTTATATAACCATGGCTAACCTTTTTTCAGAAAAATGTCTTGGGAGTCAGCTTTGGAGATGGTGTGTATTCATCTGATGATTTCATGTGGATTGGAAGGAGCTTTGCAGACAAGGGGATTGGGCGAACTAGGCTGGAAGCGTAGCCCGAATCCATTCAGGCAGTACTTCTCGCCCGACCCTGGAATTCTCGCCCGAATGTGTTTTTGCAAATTATCGATATTTATCGATTATATATTATGCGAGTGATGAATACATGCAATGCAACTCGAGTCTACAAAATCCACCCGATCACGAATTCTCGCCCGATCACGAAAATTCACGCCCGAATCACGCCGATTCTCGCCCGAATTGACATGTCAAAAGCTGCTCAAAAACTGCTGCAGATTTGCAACTTTGCAAGTAATTTGCAACATCTGCCCGAATAACGATTTCTGCCCGCAGGCAGTTTTTAAGAACAAACCCTGGTTCAGGCTGATTTTCTTGAACAGGCAGAAACTTGAGCCTGAATGAGGGTCCAGGTATATAAGTATTCCAATCCTATGGGTGCAGCAGGGGTTGGGTCGCGCTAGATCTTTCCTTTGAATAGTGATCACTGGGCCAATGCATGCCTCAAGGGGTTAGGATGACATAAGTCTGGCCCAAACAAATTTTTCACCAGGGATGCTTGACACACAGAGGGGCATCACGGTCTTGAACTCCCCCCGGATGGTCCTCGGATGTTCAGGATGAAGTCAAGGCGCTACTCCAGGACCGCCTGCGTCGCGTCGCGTGCAGACTCGAATTCCTGGAAGCTCGAAGAAGGGCAGTGCTCGCAGAGCCTGCGGTGTTGATGAACCCCCATAGCTATAGATGGTCGAAATCAATCGAAACATATCATATCATCTACAGGTTCCAGGCTTAGTCCTTGGTCTGTATGGGATATCTTCAGCAATCCTCAGATTGCGCCTTCGATGGCCTCCCAGCTCGGAGGCTCGGAGTTCCAGGTCCACCATTCCCACTCCCCATGGGACTGCCAGACGGACTGCCAGGGGAGTCTGGCTGGGGCGGCAGTCCGTCCTGGCAGTCCCAGGTCCAGGTCGTGTCGGGGATTTCTCGGCTTGAACCGACGAAAAAAGAGGGCTGTTGCCGATCGGTGGAGGTCGACCATACCCTCCAGATCACCTGAGAAGGTACAACTGGATAAGGTGACTGCCAGGACCTTCCCGACCTCAGCCGACCTTGAAAAGAAGGGCCGAAGATCCGTGACCAACCCGCCGGGATCTCAAGTTCACCTGGAAGGGTCCTGGCACATCCGAGCTGTTCGGAACGAACATCGAAGTGGAGTTCGCCTCCGCCGATTGAGCAAGGTCTTCGGTCCATGCCATCGTTGTTCCAGGCTGGCACCAGACACCAGTCCGATGCAGTGTCAAGATCGGATAAAGCAGCGTGTAGACCCCTGACGAGCTAAGACGAGCTAAGAAAATAGACCCCACAAAACGAAGTGAATTGAGCAGTCTCTCTCCTCTCTGTTTCTCGTCTTTCTGTCTCTCTTCTCTCTCTT